ACGCTCTTCCGATCTATAGAACCACAAATTATTTAGCATGTTTCAGTACAATCAATTACTATATTCAAATAATTAATTGTTTAAGCCAAAGTAAATCAGGGAGGGAAATTAGCTGACAAGAAAATTAAATAACTTAAAAATCAAATTACATACAAATTTTTCAAAGCCGTGAAATATATGATTGCTTGTTTAGCTCTAAATAGATCGTACGCTAAAATATATCGGATAACAATGAGTATATGAGAATTTGATGAGCGTGTCAATAATACAGAAATAGAAATCGTATATTCAGAATCAGGTCAGGTTACAATCTATATACAGAATAGTACAACGATAATCAAGATCAGCAATCAAGCGATGACCATGAGAATTAAATTTCTGAATCAGGTATCATACATTTAATTTAATTTGGGCTTAAGCCACTATATTAATTTGCTAGCCGTTCGAAAGTACTATTCTTGGTATATAGTGGATTAGATAGTAATTGGTGGTATAGTGAACAATAATATGTAGAATATACTAATTTTGACGAATCAAAAATAACATTTTAAACAATAGCAATCGTGCAGTTGTTGGCTGGCAAATTAATATAGTGGGTTAACCCCGCCTACAGGCATTATTATTATTATTTGAAGCAAATTAAAGCAATCACAAAGAAAAAGATGGCGATTTCAAATTAAGTTTCATTTTCCAATACAAATGTTATGATTTGATTCGCTTTAATATTTAACAAGATTCTTTATTGGTATAACCTATTGACTTCTTATTATTATATGTATATATTATTATACGATAAATTATCTTGTTTATATTAAGGTTACTGCTGATAAAGCTACTTATTTACCTTCGTAAATGTTAAATCATATCATTTTTTTATATAAATATAAGCCTTTAGGGCTGCTCCTTTTTTTTTTCTTATTTTGAATAAATTGTATTCGCATAATTTTTACAATTACAAAAAATGGTCTCCCACTTTTCACTAATTGTCGCCATAGTCTCAGTAAAGAACGGTTCTTTGTGCTCACATGGTTTCGCAAAGTACAAACTCTCTAACGAGTCTTCTCAAATGATTAAGTTTAAGTATTTCTTCCCCGCGAATCAATCACCTCAAATATTTGCAAATGGCGACCTTGTATTTATCTCTGGTAAATACGTTGTCGAAAACTCTGAACCTTGTTTCACCATTGCATACTCAACTCTTATTGATAACAAAAATCCATCCCGTGAATTTGATACAACTGATCTTCCGATATGCATCCCTCACTGTATGTACTCAGTGGTTGTTAATCACGTACCGAAAGGAGTCAATGAATTTATTCATTTTGGTGCTGAGGCTATTGAGTATAATTCCGTGACCAGTAAACCTGATGTCAAGATGGATTTAACAATAATTTATCTTTCCCAATATCCAAGGTTTAAGTATTTGGGCCCTTCAGGTTTGAATATTAAGCTGCGATCTACCTATTTTATATCAGGTCTTTTCAAATTTTCTAAGTCTGAAAAAATTATGATCGAAGCTACTGACATTGACTATCTAAGAACTTCGCCCCTCAGTATTTCCACTTCTGAAAGCTCTTCTTCATCAACTGCAAATACGTCATCGATCATTGATATTATGATGATGATATTGATTCTATTAATATGCAACCGAAGCAACCCTTTGAACATTCTTTAACCCCAGAAAGGATAATAATGCGAATAATTCTGATAATCAAGATATTGATCGCCAGCCTGATGATGATATTCCCGATCAAAAGGTTGTAGATTTAGAAGACGACATAGATTTACAAAGTGAAACTGATGATCTTGAAGAAGTCCAACCTAAAAAAAGAAGAAAATCTACTGGAGTAAAAAAGGGAAAAAAATAAAAAAAAAGTATAAAAAAATAATTGACTTTAGACAGTTTAGTCTATAAATAAATATGTCATTTATAAAGTTCTAAACTCACCACCCATATTAAGTAATTTTAATTAAGTAAACCTTTATTATTTTCTACTTTATCTTTATCAGCTATACTTTTATAAATTTTTCGTTTTATACCTATTTCAATTATCATAATAAACTTGGTATATCGAAGTTTACTGATAAATTGTGCGTATTGATTTATCTAATTTACGCTCGCTTATGTAGCAAATAATCATGTAATTTATGTAATTCATGCTTCACAATTTAATATTGAGAAGCACTTGAATAATTTGATTATGCTACTTTATAAAATCTTATTTCGCTTATTAAATTACTATTCGTAAGGTCGTATATATTATTGATTTTGTGAACTTCGGTACTTATTTTAATAATCCAATAAATTATGTTCTTTATCTTTCTATGTTGAATCATACTAAATAAATCGATTTAAATTAATTATAAATTCTTTACCATCATTGAGATCGGTTTCTGACATATTATGATTCCCGAAATATGTATAGAATGTATAAGTAATTAGTTAAATTCTTACACGAGATAGATAAAGGTAAAATATAATACAAATCCTTTTGAATCGGTTTTGCGAAAACGTTCAGAAGAGTATATAATCCCCT